ATCATCGCCGTACTATCAGTTTAGTTTAGCTTCCTGTTTTAACGATTAAACGTTTTATTTTTTAAACTAAATTTGCAGGAAATTTATTAAAAAATTACTTCATAAAAAACTTATAACCAATTATTTCTAATAAACACAAAAATACTCAATGTTTATTAACAAATAAATTATTCATGAAAGGAAAAATATTAATAATAATCTTAAGCTACTTTCTCAAATATATGTCGTTTTTAGTGTTATAAACAATTTTGAAAGATTAAAGCGATTTCACTTAAGTTGAATTTTAAAAATTAGTTATTTTATTATCAAATAAATATGGTGTAATACAATAAATTAGTTTATTAAATTTGTCATTTATAATGTATATTATTATAAAAAAATCAAGTTACGTGAACGTAAATAAATTTTTTACTCACAATTAACGACCGTCAAATTTAAAAAATTATTTGCATCTACTAAAGTTTTGATTTTATATCTTTATCATTTTAGCTAAAAATAATACATTTTGTTATATTATATTAATAAAATATAAATTTACATCATCTACAACACTGTTTCTGTTGGTATTGTATACTGTTTCATTACATTTTTACTGATCTGATTCCGGTAAAATCAGTCATTGACGTGGCCATGAAAAAGGGGGCCAGAATTCAGAAACTTGAAAGAAAAGGATGAATAAAGAAGTTTTGCTAATTGTTAAAAAAAAAAATTTTAAGGGCCACAAGAAAAGGCCAATCGTACGTACACTGAGCTAATATCTGGTCGAGGAAAGAAAAAAAAAAAAAAAAAAAAAAAAAAAGTCATCCAATCAATCTTTTCTCAAAAATACTTCGTTTTTTTGGTTAATTTTATAAATAATTTTTAAGTTAATAAAAATATTTAATATGATATTTTTATTAATTAATATAATATTTAAAAATATTTTATGATATATCATATTTAAAAATCAATTATATTAAAAATATTAATTAATAAATTTATAATTTAAATATTATACTAAAAATTTTTAAAATTTAAACATTACGTTAAATATTTAATTTCGGATACATTCACAATATTTTTTTTTTTTACCTCGGGAAGGTAATTTGTCTCGTCTTCTCACTATCTCTGATACCTCTTCTTCCCCATGATGATGAAATGTTGTTGGGCCCCACATTCACTGTTTTGACGCCGTCACGTCCTCTCGCTTTCTCTCTCTGTCTCTCTCTCTCGCACGCCGTTAACGTTGTCCTTTTCAATTCTGGGACTTTCTGCGTGCGATTATTGCTCTTTTGGTATTTCTAGCTGTAATTTTTTTAAATTTATTTGAGGAATTTAATTAAGTATATTTAGAAGCTTATGTTCCTCTTACCTTAACATGTCTTTCTCAATAGCCATCGCCCCCCCCCCCCTGACAGTCTTCCCTTACGTCACTCTCTTTTTATTTTTTATTATTTCTTTTATGTTTATTACACCTCCTTCGACCATAGAAGTAAATAATATTTTTATAATTAATATTCAATATTTAAAAATATTTCTTAATTAAAACATAAAAATAATCATTTGTTAATATAAAAGTAATATCACATGTTCGTCGAATCAAATTGTTTTAAGTTATATTTGATATCGACAAAGAAATTATTTTTGATAAAATTAAAATTATTTTAATTATGATAAAAAAATTATTATAATTATAATTAAAAAATTTTTATAAAAACTTTTATACTAAAATTAATATTTAAATTTAATTAATAGTACAATAAATTTAACTATATTGCACTAAAAATATTATATAATTTAAACCTCACTTAATATGTAAGTGCCGAAACAAATTTTCATGTATTAATCAAATAATCTTTCTAAAAATTATTTTAACATGTAGTGAAGTAAATAATTTTTTGAAAAGTTATTTTAATGTATAAATATTGATGATTGATAAGCTAAATTATTAGAATCTTAACTGATTTTCATTAAAACACAAAACTAAGTTATTATAGGGAAATTTATAAAAAATTGGTGAATGGTGATGGCAATTGAGGATTGTGTACAATTGGTGTTTGTGGACCCAACTTCAAATGCCTCAACAAATATAAACATTTTTACCATTTTTACCATTCTAAATAATTCTAAATAAAATTTAAATGGCAAACATGTAAATGATTTGTCCTTAATAATAGCAAGTTAATAATTGGATTTTAAAGATTTTTAATTTGAAAGTTTTGAATTTAAATATTGAAAAAGATAAATGAATGATCTTTTATAGGCAAACCAAAATTAAAAAATATTAATTAGATTAATTTTGATTCAAATTATTAAAATTAAATAATTATTTTTTATTTAAATAAAACATTATATTTAATAATTCATATTTTATTATATAAAATATTAATAATTTATACATTCATATCATATTTTATATAAAAATTATATATAATAATGATAAAAATATAAAATAAATATTTATTTTATTAAATTTATTTATAATTTTTATTAAAATTTTAAATAATATAATTTTATATTATATCACAATCTCATGTTTTAAATATTTCACCATGAAAATTTCACGTCTTAGCCCAAGTGCGGTGGCTTTCAAATTGTTAGTGATAGTACTTGTACTTTCGATTCCCATCTCAATCAGAAAAAAGAGTCGGGTCCACCAATCTGTAACCAAATGAGGGCATGGCAACGTGATTATATGCCAAACTGGATGTTTTCTCGGATAAAAAATAAATAAATAATTAAAAATCAAAAGATTAGTAAATATAGAGGGGTACAGTGGACCTACCATTCACATGTAAACCGTTTTTCCATGAAAAGTCCTTTCAACTCCCAATCACGTGCCCATTTAATGTGTGTTTCTTTAGGTTTTTCTTGGTAGGGCCATTAGCCATTAGCCATTAGCCATGAACCATGGTCATATTTCTTCATGAATTTACACCCAGTATCTTCCAATTTTCAAAAAGAAGAATATCCTCAATCTGTTTTATGAATATAAAAAATAAATTTGATAATTTATAATAGGATAAAACTATATGAAAAAAAATGAAAAATGAAAAAATTTAAAATTTTAATAAAAATCATATATAAATTTAATAAAACTCAAAAATATATTTTATATAAAATATAATATAATATAAATTATTAATATTTTATATGATCCATATATTTATTAATTAACAAATTTACTTAAAAAGATAAAGAATTACTTTCACAATTCAATTTTGGATAACGAGATTTACGATGAAAAGCCACTGGTTTTTTTTTTTTTTTATGTCTACTAGTATTTGTTTATTGTTAGAAAAATAAATCCATATGACACTACTTGAAAAAAAAAAAAGAAATTAGAGCGGTTGTTCGCTTCAAGATTTTGAATTTGATGTTCGTTTATTTCGCAAAATTTTTTTTTATATTTTTAGGTATTTATTTGATAAAAAAATTAGTTAATCAACGAAAAATAATTTATTGATCAATAAAAAATGAAATTAAAATTTTAAAATAGTTTTACGAATTTTAAAAAAATAAGATATTTTTTGAAAAAGAATTATCTATGAATAAAATTATGTATTAATATTTTTAAGTATAATTGCACTTATAAATAATATACTATTAATAAATAATATATTAGTAAATATTATTAATAAATAATAAATTAATAAATAATATAAAGAATAATAAATAGTTTTATTTTAATTATTTTTATATTAACATAATATTTTAATATTAAATATTGTAATTAAATTATATATTTTTAAAATATTAATAATTTCAATATATTTTTAAATAAATAATTTTTAATATTTTAATAGTTATATTAATATTATTTTTAAAAATTTATTTTAAAAAAATCAAACAACAAAAATATATATTTATTAATTTATCTAAATAATTAAAAAAAATTATTTAAAAAATATAAATATTTTTTAAAAATTATTTTTTCTGAAAGAAATGAATCTAAAATTTTTATTAAAATTATATTCAATGTATAATTTATAATAATTATTTTTTAAGCCGTCGAATATTACTTTGACCAGGGAACCGAACATTCTATCTTTTCTCTTTCACAAAAAAAAAAAATAAAAATCTGATTTACCCATACTTAAAATTATTTTATTTCATTCGTCGCGACTTTCTGCCACCGAAGTTTACTTAATAGAGAGAAGATTTTATCCCTTCTTCCTAAATTTATAAACTCAATTCAATCCTTACCGACAGACAAATAATCCCCTTGAATGTGGGCCGTGTAGGACATTGTTTTAGACTCGTAGGACTAAGCTTGATCCTCTCTTTCTCAAGCACATTCTCCGGTTTAGCTGATTTCTGCAAGCATGATGTACTGATGTGAAAATGCAACGGGGATTAATTGCCATTAATGCTTTGAATGTCAGCTAGTACGACTTGAGGGTCGATGGGATTGAAACGAGAGAAAGATTTTGCAGTGATTTGAAACTGGGTACAGAGTGGGGGCGCAGCGATGGCGTGGCACAGAGCTAATGGAAGATGTGGGAGAGGAACTGAAAACTTACCAGAAAATAATGTGCGTTTCTGTCGTGGACTTAAATGTGATCCCATATCTACGTGCAATTGGCAATGTCCAGGTACTGAATATCATCAGTCTCTGAATCAAAAATATCTGCTGCGCTCCAGCTTTGCAATTCCGGAACCAAGCAATTGAATGATCAATGTGAAGTCACTTTGCATGTGGTTACGTCAATAACCGGCTTTACTACAATCAGTGGAGGTACATGCTATGTTGGGGATTACGAAAGCTGATAATCCAAAAGCTAAAAAAATATACTCAGACTTACTAAAAAAGAGGTTAAGAAAGAGGAAAAGACCACCGGGAATTGGTTACAACTGGGATTGAGCTCAAGGCCATTAGCCCACCTGTCAAACCCAATAAAGAAAAATGAAGCAGCTTAATCATGGTCATCTGGATAAGAAGAGAATATATTCTGGGGACCATATAAAAGCGAAGTGTTACTTCTATTATCAGTTTACTTACCAGAAAATGAAGGTGTCATGGCAAAATGGTATTGGGGAAGTAAAACACCAGAAGCAGTGGGGATGGGAACAACATTCTATGCTACTGCCCATGATAAGTGGGTTCGTCTGAAATTCTTCAAAAATAATTTAGAAATAATCCAAATCTAGTCCCAACTTTTTATCTGTCTATCTCCAAAGCAGTCCAGTCAGGCTAGTATGCATTTTAATATAAAAAAGATTATACTTGGATCCCTGACATAAGCAACCATCAAGCATTTATCACCCATAAAGTGTAAGACCATTGGCATAAGTCGTAGCATTTCAAATAATATTCCTATAATCTTACCCAGTTTATTGTTCCAGAAGAGACAGACTCGGGATATGCATCCATTGACATCGAGGAGAACCGAGGAGTCTTTAGGCCCTTGTTTCGGAGGTTGGAGAGACGATTCTTGCCACTGTAATCTGGTTTCCGGTGAGTTGAATAAGACGAAACCAGGAGTTGACCAAGGCCGGTTACAGAAACGCCGTGATGGCATCGATGGAGACTTTGAGACGACGATCGTTACCGAATGTTGAGGAAGTAGTTGAACATTCAAACTATTACCCAATCACCTTCCGCCACGTAATATTGACTATCACCGTCCGCCATATCCAATTAAAATCTTCAATTTATTTGAAATTCCAAAACGCTGCGTTTTAAGTCATCGCAAAAAATCACAGCAAAGAAGCAAATAATATCATGCCACGTGGGAGAAATAAAATCTCTCTTTTAAAATCCTAATCCGCTGAAAATGAAAAACGTTATCTTATTCTTCTTCCGCAAGCAAAGCTTTTCGAAACAAAAATGGCCGTTGCCGAGGCTGCCAAAGAGACCCCAAAACCTAAATCCCAAAATTCAGTTCCCAAATCTTTATTACTCTCTTCAGCATTTATTCAAACGCCATTCGCTCCTCCATTTTCGAGGCCGCCAAAGTCCAATCTCCTTCCCTTAGTTCCTCAAACTATAACTCGTGACCTTCACGGTTCAATCGTTTCAACCGCCGAAAAGCTCTTGAATTTCCTTAAACGAAATCAAGTTTTCAAAAACATTCTCTCCTTATCCTCCGAACTCCAAGGCTTCTGCAATGAGGTAACCGATTTTTATATATCTTTCTTTCGTTCCCGTTTAAGTTTTTGTGACTAATTCGAAATTTTACCGCAGGTAATTACTTGCAGAAACAATTACAGGAAGGTTAATAGTTATTCTCCGTTGTCAAATCACAATTTTGCGGCGGTTTTACCTGGTGATTCGGTGGCGGGGATTGTCGTAGCCAATGGAATCCTAAATTTCTTGAACATTTACAACACCCTGTTAATTGTAAGGCTGGTTTTGACTTGGTTCCCTAACTCTCCTCCTGCCATTGTTAGTCCCCTCAGGTACTTCTAATTCCATCAAATATCAAAATTTTGAAATAATTTAAGTCTTAATTTTATTTTAGTATAAACTTTTTTTTGTTCATCATTTTGGTTCAGTACTTTATGTGATCCGTACCTGAACATATTCCGTGGGATAATTCCACCGCTAGGGGGATCATTGGATCTATCTCCAATACTTGCATTTCTGGTTCTAAACGCATTTACTAGCACCGCCGCCGCACTCCCGGCGGAGCTTCCTGTGGCTGGACAACCTCCGAGAAGAGCTTCATCTCTTTCATTGTTGACTGAATTAACCTCATCGCAGAAGATGTGGGTGAGACGACTCCATGGGAGCCGGTCCAAGAGCTCCAATGGCACCAATTAAACTATTTTTTTATTTATTTATTTATTATTATAGTAGTAGTCTTTTTGAGTTAAATGGAGGATCTTTTAACCTTCTGACTCTTTATTCGAAATTCTTTTGATATAAAAGTATCCGATTAAACCGCTAAAATACTTCTTTATTAGGAATAACTCGAATCTAATATCTCTAGCAAAAGTTTTACTTGAACCCTTTTCCATGGCCGTTAGATTGGAATACTCAAATCTATGTATCTTTAGAACTTTTGGAAGGATTCCCAAGGGATATGGGCAATGGGTTTAAAGAGATTGCACCTGACTTGAACCCTGTTCCATGGCCGTTAGATTGGAATGTTTTTGTTTTTGTAAATGGAGTCCATAGCTGCATGCAGGTCAAGCAGGTCTTTTTTTGAGAAATGGGTGGCAATTGTCTTGACCATTCTAGCTGTGGTTTCACCTCTTTACATCAACCAGAAGCCGGTTAGTAGACCGGAGCTTGAAGAGCAATTCATGGATTTGGCTTCATGGTTGGTCTTCTATTTGTGCTATTAATCTTGGCCTTTGCTTTCTTGTTTTACTTGAACCGGTACTTTACCAGGTTTGATCGACATTGGATTAGGTTTAGCAGGTCTTCTTTATATGAGACACCGGTGACAATAGAATTGATCGTCTTAGGCGTTGTTTCACCTCATTACATCAACAGGGAAACTGTGAGTGAGCTAGAACCTGATGAGCAACCCATCAACTTTGCTTATTGGTTGCCTCTGCTGCTATTGATATTAATCTTGGTCATTGCTTTGTCGCTTTATGGTGACAGAAGCTTTACAAGGTTTGATGATCGTAACTGGCTTCATAGAGCTGGTGGTTCTTTTGCTGGAGTCTTACTGATTCATCTGGTTCTGACGTTTGTTTTTACGTGTTAAGGCTTCTGGTTGTAACTGATAACTGAGAAGCTTGATTGAGCTTTATTCACTAACATAAGTGAAACTTCTGCTTCTGCCATGTCCTAGAGATGAAGATCCTCTATTTCCTAGGTCAGAAATTTCATTATACCCTGCCATGTCCTAGAGGTGAACATTAGGTCAAAGACTAATCTTTAGCTAACTACTTTAAAAGGAAATTGTTGATCCCTATAGAGCCCCTGAAAAAGACGTCAACCCTGAAGAATTGGAATCACTCCTCTGAATCCATATGTGCTTTGCTCTATAATGTTCTCGAAATCGATGTTCTCTCAATTCAAATGTTTGATAAAATATCGACCAGAAAATAAATTTTTTACAATGATCCACATCTGCTATCGACAATCTGCTGGCCTGCTGGATGTTCATCAAACTTCTTGTGGTTACAGAAAACTACCCGGAATTAATTATAGGATTTCAGAGGGGTTGTGATTCCATCAGTCTCCAAAAACAACAAAACAGCCAATGTAGTGAATATAACAAGATTGATAGTAATTTATTACTGTTACACAAAGAAGCAGGTAGATCAACTATATATATATATATATATATATATATTTATACATATCCAAAACAAAGGGGATAGTAAGGACGATATACATAGTGAGAGAACCGATAATGACAAAATACCAAGCTAATGTTTCTGCCAATAATTTGAAGTCATATCCACTTCCAAAAGCAAATAAAATTTTTTGATCGCATTCACATCATGCAGGTGACAAGCTACTAAAAGTTCGCTTCAAACTTGGACAAACTGCACGTAACCTCCCCATGCTCATTGAGCAAATCTATCAGCCACCAGATAACAAACATTAATGAATTGGATTAGTTTTTTTTCTTTCTCAAACAAAACCTAGAGATTCGGGAGGAAGAGTCCAGGAAACAAAATTTGAATATATGAAATTGTAAAGAGAACTTAAACCTATCAGCCATTCAGCGTACACAATATAACAAAATAGGGGGCAAACAATAATTCTCTCACCTTTGGACAAAAGCGAACATCCAGAGTCTCCAGCATGCTACACTGTGATATTGCAGTTTCAATTGCATCTTCCTCGATGTTGCAAGACTTAAAAATACCAATGGACAAAAGAAAATAGAAAGCAGCATCAGCTAAGAAACTCACGGCCTCACACTAACTACATTAATGGAGACATACATATTTACATGTTTGTGTGAGACAAAATGAAAATCAAAATGACTTGGCACGAAGAAAACAGGAAATTTAAAGATTTGGGGCCAGAAAGGAAATACTCTATAGAAGAAGTGACACAGTCTGAATCAACAAAATAGATAACTTTACATCCGTCCAAAAAACCTAGTAAGAAGGCAGGTTTCACACAGACTCTGCAATATAAGGTGAAACAATGAAAACAGAAATAGGTAAATGTAGAACCCATCCTTCACTATAAGCAAATCATCAGAGAATGGAGGCCTTGTATGACTCATTAGCTGCTTCCTAGAATACATACCAAAACACACAGAATATAACTTCATGACCCGCTGTAAATCAATGGAACTACCTATGCATGTCAGCCTTTAACAAAAGAAAGCCATTACAAAAGCCTAGGGAGAGAAGACCAAGCATCTTCAAGAATACACTTCCAATTGAAGATCACAAAAGCAAAGGGCAAAAAAGAACCTAAAACATAAAACATCAGTGGTTTCAAAGACTGAGACTAGATACCTGAAGAAAGAGACTAGTCAGTCTAGGACACCCAAGCTTCAAAACTTCCAAAGAGCAACAATTGCTGAATTAAGATATAGGGGAAAAATTTAGAAAACTACCAGATAAACCAAAAAGAAATCATAAGCATAAAAAGGATTGTATGCATACCTTAGATTAAGAAAGGACAAATTGAAACAAACAAGATCAACTTCCTTTAAATTGCCTGACAAAGAAAGATTTAGGGACGATAAATGGAAACAACGTGCTGTTGGTGGGATGAGTACTTTCCTAATATTTGGACAACCTACACAGTTGAGGTTCTGCAGTAATCGATTGGCTTGCTCAACTGGCTCATTGATATTCTCAAAAGAAAACATGCTAGATCCATTATGTGCACTAAGCAACTCAAAAAGTAGACCACCAGTAGAACTCCAATTCAGGTCATGCATATTTATACATCCATTCAAGCTCAAGTGGGTAAGATGTGTGCAATAAGCAAGAAGCTCCTCTATGGCAGACTGGCAGAGGGTACCATATGACAAGTCCAAATCTCGGAGTTCTCGTAAAGCACCTCCCTTGTAAAGAGGCTCCAATGATGAGTCAGCCAGATATTTGCATGCTTGTAATTTTAACACCTTAAAGAAGGAAAGGAAAAGTGAGCAAAAGAACATAGCAGGAAATATAGAAAACATGGAGTACCAGAATCTTTGAAAGCTTAAACCAGACAATTAACAGGAAAGAGAATATATTCTTAAACGTGCTTTAATGGTAGGAGAAGCAGCACAATGGATGTTACGAGAGAGTTTGCCACATAAGTGACTAAAAATGATATTAGTGTTTTATATCAAAATACAGAAACAATAAAGAGTACAGTGCAACGCAAAATTCACACATTCATCAAGTACATGCAGTATAACCAACTAAACATCAAGTAACTATATGTCATGTATGGCTAAGTATGCGCATGAAGGATTTAAAGTACCTTCAGCTGCAAACAAGACTCAAAAACTGGCTGCAAATTCGTCAAAAAGGTATATGACAAATCTAGTGTTGTTAAATTTGGAAGCCATCGCAAAGTGTAAAGACCCTCAGAACCAATAGATGGGCATGACATCAATATTAATGACTCGATCAGAGAGCAGGAAGCAGTGGTTGCAGATAAGCAATCATCCTTAAGTTGGCTGCATGTAAAATTGAATAGAAACATCAGCTACTGAACAGAGTAAAGGATCATAAAAAGAAGGTAGCAACGCAACATAACCTGCAAAAGGAAGTATCCAGAGACGTCAATAGAGGACAATTTATGGATGCTTCAGATAAGACACCACATCCTTTCAACTCAAGTGACACCATATATGGAGCATCAATTCTGAGTGTGTTCAATTTGGGGCATATTCCAAGATTGAGTGACCTAAGAGCAGCCTAAAAGGAGGAATCGCTTCAGGTTTTACATTTTTATAAGGGCAAGAAATTGCATGCACCAAATACTAGACAACTTGGAAGCAAATTAGTCTCAGAACGTCTAGAGTCACTCTGAACTTACAGGACAAAATGATGCTCTTTCCAGATGATCACAACCATCTAAGCAAATTTTCTCAAGACAAGGACATGCAAGATCCAGAATAGTAATAGCACGACAACCAACCAGAGAAAGACTGACTAAAGATGTACTGGAGAACTGCACTATTGTCAAGCTCTGGTCAAAATAGAAACAAGAAATTGTCAGAAATCACAAAACAATGTCACACAACAATACAGGAACCAAGGAGCTATATTTATTTAATAGCACCAAAAACAATTAAAGAATACTGGTACGTGATGCTAGATGCAGAGCAGAATTCAGACAAATTTTTGGTGCCATTTTAAGTGATCAAAGAGCTGAGATGAAGCTAATCTTACAGACCTCTATCATCTTATGCCTCTTTTACCACCCAATCTTTTAATGTCTCCTAGAAAGGCCCTTATCCATACACATGCATGAGAACTGAGAAATGGCTCAGTAAACAGAGAGAACCTATTCACAGACCTCACAGTTATCCAAAACCAATGATTTTAGCATTGGGCAACCACCACCATCACTAAAGACATTGCAAATAGAATTTGTCAAAGATGCACAATCTGTAAGGTCCACTTCTTGCAAACATTGACATTGCAGTGCCAACATTGTCAAATTTTCCTGCTTCTGCAATGCTAATTTCTGCATGTTCATGAAATCAACACTAGAAATTCAAACTGTCATTAACAACCAAGACCGAAACAAACAAAGACCAATTGTGTGTCAGAGCATACTTGAAGTGAATTTGAATTGATGTTAATGTGATGTAGTGCAGCGCAATTGGACACCGTTATAGATGATAGCATGAAACATTGAAGATTCAAGTCAGCAAATCTGCATGAAGAAATTATAAATTATTACAAAATCAAAAAGGGGGAACAGGAGGCATGAAAAAAAATGAAAATCATCCCAAAAGCAGTAAGGCAATCTTTCTGGGTTTGGTAAGAAAAGAACAGGAGAATGAAATGGAAGAACAGTATACTTTCGACAATGAACCAGTCGGATTTTCTGCAAATGAGGAAGATCTAATGACACTGATGTCAACATGTCGCAATTATCAAGCTCCAACTCCTACAACATATACCAGAATCAGTACAGGCAGGTAGAAGTTTAAACTAGAGACTGCAAAGAAATCCAGGTGCATTAATTAATACATACAAGAAGAGAGTTCAAACCTCCAACATATAACTATGAGATATTGCAGCCATTGACACCGAAGTGATACCCTCGCAGTTGTCGAGCTTAAGAACTGTTAACGTTGGCAATCTTACAGACTTCAAAGAAAGCAAATGCATCAAATTACATCTTAACCAAAAAGGCAGCACTTGTTAGAACTATATTAACCATTAGCAAGAACTGACCTCAAGTGATATGTTAGGACAATATGAAGAATTCAGAACATGAAGATTAGCACAAGTGAGAGCTATTTCACGCAATGTTTCATCACTAACACAAGAACAATTTGACATGTCTAAAGACTCTAATTGGGGGCAAGAAGTCACTGCCGAACGAATTGCTGCATCTGTAAGTTTGTGGCATGAGCTTATATCAAGCAGATGTAAAAGAGGACAATTAAGGGCCACCTGTGCCATATTACTACGTTTCAAAGACAAACTTTTTAGTTGTGGGCACCTGCAAAAGATCAGATTTTAGCATAAAGAATAACCATAATGACATCAACATATAGTTAACATTCAAATCAAGCTTTTGTTTCACCTGACAGATATGCGCATCAGACGGCATTTTGTCACTTTCAGATCACGCAATCGATCATGGTTAATAGGTATCTCTTGAACACCATTGCCAAGAATAGCATTATTCACATCCAACCTCCTTAACATACTACACTCTACCAACGCATGGAAAAAAGCATCCCCTAGTTGGCCGTTTCCCAATGTTAAAGCCTCCAGATTTCTACCAATCAGATCATTTATATGAATTAACAGCCGGCACTATAAATTCATTTGATTAGAAGAACACAAAATATGATGACCAAATATTACCGCAATGAAGAGACAGCTTTCATAGCGAGCAGGTGAATATTAGGAGTGCCACTGAGATTCACTTCAGTGGCATTTGGATATCGTTGACACATGTCCTCAACTGCAAAATTAAAGCAGTTTGGCATCCAATTTCATTACTAACAATGGAGTATTGTCACACACAAAACGAAATAATGAACAAACAAATCAAAAGAAATTGACCAATTTACGATGATCTGTAGCATATGACACAACTATTCTCCAGCCTAGGAGCCAGCACCAAACATGGTAATTCTCAATATATAAAAGATAAAAGGGCAAGTATATGTATATATAATTGCATGCTCATGTAATTCTCATATTTAGAAACAAGTGTCTGTTTTAAGCAATTTAGACTATCATCCAAATTTCTCTATCTATTTCCAAAATTTTATTCATTTGCAATACACCGTTTAAACCAAATGAAGAACTACAAGGAGTTATGCAAATATGAGACTCACATTGTTCAAGATATATATTCCGGTTTTCAAAATTCAAACACCTCCAAAAATCTTCATGAGCACTAGCTGCCCGCCACTGCTTACAGACCATAGCAGCATGACAAAGATTATGATGGTCCAAGAATGAGAAGACCTGAAAATAGGGGAGAAAAAAACAAATGGTTCCATAAAATGGAACAATATACAAATTTAAAAATATAAATTAAAATTGTAATGGTTCAAACAATCTACCATATGCAATAAGTCATCTGTCAGATCCATTCGAATTTCAAAATCTTCCGTTCTCAAACCACCCTCATCTTCCTCATCGTTCCCACCATTAGCATCAAAAGGATGCCCATCACTCCCATTACTCAACATGAAATTATGATAAAATATCCCACTATTAGACGAAATTGATGAGCCTTGGTTAATATTATAATCTCTCTCCGCGGAGGAGGAAGAAGTGCTCTTACTGCAGTGAAAATTTTGCAGAATAAGTATCACAATAAATTAAAATTTTTAATTAAATTTATTTATTGTTGTCCAATTGACTCACCGAGAACCGAAGTAGACTTTGGCTCGCTTATGGTGCGAATCGTGGTGGTCACAATCTTCAACGGCAGTTGAAGCAGAGGCGCTAGTCTCACCCTCGGAAGGACGCGTGCAGCGAACCGAAGGGTGCCACTCGGCATCGTCCCAATTCCCCCCGCATCTCATGGCGGCGACCATTTCTTCAAACAACAGCAACGTCTCGTCTCTCTGCCTTTGCCTGTTTAGGGGTAAGGCGAATTGAGCTGCGGCGGCGGTGGCAGTGACAATGGCGAAAGCTTCTTCTTCCTCCTCGTGGTCCTCGTCGCCATTTACAATATTGCCCTTAAAGTCGTCGACATTTGCCAAAAAACCTTCCTTCATGGTTCCTTCGTGTTGATTATCTTCTTCTTCGTCGTCGATAAAGTATAAACAGCACCAAATCCTCATGCACACAGAGTTCAAAAACCCAAAGCCTCCCAAACAAAAAGAAAACCCTAACTCACGATCCTGCACATTCCATTCGCGCAAAACGAAAAACAAAAAAACCCAAAATTTAATGAAGGAGGAAAAAAAGCTCCGGTCTTTCAGGAACCCTAGAAATTTTTCAAAAGAAAAATCGATTTTGAAACTTCAATTATTCCGAAAATTCACAGAAGAATCGATCGATTACATACAAATATAAAAATAAAAAGAGAGAAATTCAAAATTTTAGAGAGAGAGAGAGAGAGAGAGAGAGACGGACAAAACCGGATCTGACCAGATCTTATGAACCGATAGTTGTTAAAGAAACCTTTTTTTTTTTTTTTTTTGAGCAAGCTTGAAAAAGGAGACCGGCGGTAATGGGTGAAATAATCTGAGAATTCGTGCTTTTACTGAAAAACCGAAAGAAAAAAAAAAAAACTCTTCATTTATACAAAAACAATAAAGGGTAAATTTTGCGGTTAAAAAATTAAAACGACACCGTCTCTACAGATTTATGGTGAAAAAAATGAAAACTATTTATTATGAGTAAAAGAATTGAAAGATGATTCTAATGAAGAGAGGTTATTGACTTTAGTAAAGTGATGGGTGGGTTTGAAAGATGACATCACACGTGCAAACACAGCTTTTGGGTCCATTTTGGTTTAGTAATTCAAATTAAAGATGGATTTCAATCAATGTTTGTCATAGTAAAACAAGGTAATGGATTTTAGTACATTTAAAACTATGGAAGATATTTTTCACGTAATCGACAAAACATTTATATACGGGACCTTGGTATTACGGTAAATATTACAATTGTTAGATGCTAGTATAATTGTTAGATTAAAAATAAGACCGTAAATTTTTTTTGAATAAAAAATTTACAAAAAATAATTATCTTATTTTAAGGTCAATTAAATTTTTATTTGTGCATTTATGATTTACAATTTGTTTACTCGATATGAAAATACTAGGTGCTTATGCATCAATCTCTCATCTCTTACCATTAAGGGTAAGCAAAAGTTAGTTTGAATCAATTAATTCGATCGAAATCAAGTGAATTCAGTTGAATCGATTCGGTTTATTCGATTTTAGTTATAATCGATTTTTTAAATCGATTAAATTGATTAATTCAGTCGATTTTTTTATTTTTAAAATTGATAATCGCACTGATCGAATTAATCGATTTTTTAATAATTAAAAATAAAAAATTTTGAGAGAAGTATTTTTATTTTATTTTTTGTAAAATATTATTGAAATTATTAAATTATTTAATAATTTAGTTTGAATGATACGAAAGTTTAAATTTTATTGAATTGAATTTATAATTAAATAATTATTCATAATAAGATAAAAAATAAAAAAAATCGATTATTTAATCGAATTGATCGAATCGAATCGATTTTGATCAGTTTAATTATGATCGATTATTTAATAATATTCGATCGATTTAATTATTTATTAAATAAAAATTAATTAAATCGATTATTAATTTTTTCAAATCGAAACAACCATTTACTCTTCTCTACTTACCATTTATGCTAACCTTTGTTGATAAATTGTGAATTGTTATTGTTTCGATGCAATACAAATTTAATGGGCATCTAAGTACAAGAATGAATACATTTATAAATAAATAATAAAATGGTCATTGCATAATGCATTAAACTCTATGGGTACCCCATATTCTTTCCCATTCCCTCAAATTTTGAAAAACAAAACGAAAATGACATGACATCAAACCTCCACGCTTTGAATGAGTACAAAAGAATCTTTAGTACTCTCCAAAGTCCCTAATTCATTATTTTAGGCAACTGACACATCATACTTTCAATATTTAAGTTCCCCATTTTGGAAACACTATGCTGTACAAAACAAATTACTATCTTTATTTTTTTTTCTTATGTATAATGTTAGATTATGCATTAAGCACTATTAACTTTTGAAATTTTATCAAAATATTTTCACAAATTTTATTTACATATATTAAAAAATTAAGAAATTAATATAATAAAAAAAGCATATGTTGATATTTTAATCTTACTTTTATAATTTAATAACTCTATAATTCTTGATATTTTTAGTTTATAAATTCCATTGTATTCATTCCAAAATTCAGATTTGAAATCATAAAATTTTAAGATAGAATAGCTTAATATAGAGACATTCCCTTCCAAGTCATTATACTTTTCTCACCTTTTTGTTGTAAATTAACTTTGTTCTCAAGTCAACCAATTTTAATATTATTTGAAAGAAATTTTATTTGATACATTGGTACCGGACTTTTTTAATTTTATAAACAGGATTGAGATGGTGACATGTGTATTATTTTTATAAAATTAATTTTTTTATTTTTAAATATATATTAAAAGATATATATCATCGTCTTAATTTCATTTATGAAATTAAAAAGCTCAACTATTAATTTATTTGATAATTTTTCTTACTTAAATATTAATTTGAGTTTTTAAAATCAATTTCACAGATCTTTCAAGATCTATTTATTATTTATTGTTTGAACAACTCTTTTATATATATATATATATATTTATAGTTTATGGTTTTAGTTTTCATAAGTAGATGTATTTTTTTATATAATATGTATCTAATTTCATTAGAAATAGGTTTCTAATATAATACTTTTTAGAATTTTATTAAGAGTCTAATTCTAACTCAATTTATATTAGGAGTACGATAATTATGTGAATGTATTAACAAGTTTGAGGTTCAATTTGGATGGTTTGTAAAATTAATCTTGATAAGATAAAAAATTAATAATAAAAATTATTTTAGTTATGATTGAAAAATAAAGTTATTGTAACTATAATTAAAAAAAATTCAATAAAAAATTTATTTTAAATAGATATCATTAGAGATCGGAATTGATAATTGGATTTAACACATAATATAGTGAATTCGATTATTTCGTATAAAAAATACATAAAATTCAAACTTGACTTAAGCGTGCTTGACTCAACCAATATTCCAATATATAAATATCAAATAGTGGAAAGAGAATTACACTATTTTTGTTTACATTGTTAATTTTGTTAATTAATTAACATGTTAAAACAACATTGATAATTAAGCATGATTATTACATGTGGGCATTAGGAAACAATTGATTTTTTATGGCCTCGTGATGTGGAGACATGTGGGTCCTAACAATTCCTATCAACGGTCAAGAAAATATTTGGGAAAAGATCCAAATCGTTGACAATGCTTGATCCTTGGTCTTCCTAAATGGCCGACCACTTACTATCTCCATTCCAAATACACGAAAAATACACATTAGACTAATTCAACCTTTTTTTTTTTCTACTTATATATATATGTTGGTCCATTTAAAAATTTAATTTTCACCATTTAAAAGATACATATTTATTTATATATTTTTAATTTCATTGATTAGAGTTTAATTTTAATATATCGATCTCAAATAAAAAAACATATATATATTATTAAGTAAAAACAAGAGCGGAATTTATCGACTAATGAATTAATGCAAATAATTTTATTACTCATGTATAGAAATTAAACTAATAAATAATTATCATACCTAAAAAATGGAGCATATAGTAGAAAGAAATTAAAATTTTGAAGTATTTTTAATTTTTGTATAGATCATATGTAAGAATATTTTTTCTTAATAAATATGTGACACTGCATATAAATAAAGTCTTATTTTTCCATCTAGGAAAATACATAAATTAAAAAAAAAGTTTTTTCTTTCATTTTTTTTTTTGGTTAAAGAAAATAACTCAAAGTCAAACTTCTCATAATTGGCATCAAGGCTTAATATATTTTGTTTCCCAGCTCATATTTCTCAAAGATGGAGCTGGATGAAATTTATAAAATATGTATGATGTTGAAAATTATCACATTTACTTATAATAAAAATTTTAAATTTCACATAAATTTTTTTGCAAGTGCCTGAATGTTATGAATTCGAAGGAATTTATATACATAATATTTATTTAATTAAATAAGTATAAGAGATAAAGGTTAGGGATAGATTAAAAAATAAAAAAAATTAAATTTTACACATAAAATTTGTAGAGTGACATGTATTTTTATTATATAATAAAAATAATTAAAAAATAAACATGTGACATTCTCTTGTCTTTACTTATAAAGTTCAAATATTTATTTATTTATTTACGTTGGATGCATGATGCATATTTTTACAAAAGAGGAAGATGCCATTAAATGGGGTTTGGACTTCATATGTGACTTTCTATAAGAACCCTAGCCCTTTTATGTTGGCCAATTGGGCCTTCATCATTGGGTTAACCCTTATGCAGCTGCTTGCTGGACGTCAGATCTCCTCCAAGTCATCCCTCAGCTTTTCTCACAACTTCTAACTCAAAACCTAATTTTTCTGTGGATAAGTAACTAGTCATGGATCATTAATGGATGGATGCCATATTAAATCTTCACTAACTATTCACTATCCAATCAAATTTCACCCATATATAACTTATTATCAATCCCATAAAGTTTCAAAACCTACCCTTTAATCCCCATTATCAACATATAACTAGTTAATTACATAATTAATCAAAATAAACTTTTTTTACTAGATTTTATTAAGATTTGAGCTATAATTATTAGAATTAAGAGTTTAATATTTTATTAACAGATTATACGGCTATTGAGTAAAATTCTTGCGTGACAATCACTTAATTGTAAGAAAAAAAAGTTACATATTAACTCCTCTCTTCTCTTATCATTGTCAATACAATCAGAGAGATTTGTCTTGTTTTCTATTGAGATTCCTTAATGCAATCTTTCCTATGAAATGAAGGATAAGTTATTAGGACAATCAGCTACTTTTGCCTTCCTGTTTCGAATAACTAGCTTATTAATATGAATAAGGGTACGCAGCTTTCTCTAAGCCGGATCGTCTTCTTAGCCACACCAAGGACGACATTGATAACGTCCTTTTAACAAATTTTTGTCAAAATTATTTCTGGAATGTCACAGGGACTCCTCGATCAAGACTGTTGTAGAGAACTACAGGAGAAGGGGAAGAGTGTACCATGCTCAAAGGCTTTATCATTATCATTTTCTATGAAACATCGGAAACATAATAAGGAATCATGGCTACAACTGTAAAGTTCACTAACCATGAAAAATCTTTTTGTAGTTATGCAGAAGCAGCAGCGTATGCTTCAACTTTAATTTGTCTTGGATTTTCAAATATATAATAATAACAACTAAAAGATTACTTAAAAAAAGTCGATTATTCGTGCCTTTTGGCTTTAGATTCAAGTCATGAAGACAACAAAAAATTTATTGAAACATCAATCAAGGGAATACTCCAAATGAACTTTAGACAAAAACTTGATATTATCGAATGGACTTTTTTTTTTCATAGTGTATATGTGTGTGTGTGTGTATAGATATATATCTTCTTTTCAAGGGAAATCTAGTGTGGATGTTATTCTTTTATAAAGCAAATAATTTACATGTTATAAAGCATCCATCCACGTGTCCCATGGAAGATCAATATTGATGCTATGTATTCGAAAAAATCATCTCGAAAACTATTTAGATAAGACACAATGTCATGTTTTGGAACAATTTTTTCTTCTCAAAAACAAGATTAGGTTTTTTAGAAGTACTCGAATGAAATGCATAATGCATGTAAGCTTCCTTGATTTCCTAGAGTCAAAGATAGTATAAATAGAAACCATACCTGCTTGTCTATATTTCTTCACTTTCATTTACACTATATTTGGTAAGAATGGAGTAAACAGGAAGAAATGGAAAAAATAAGAAAAGAAAATAGAAAGAAGAGGAAGGGAAGTCATTTTTTCTTCGTTGTATTTGGTATGAATGATGGAAAATAGAGGAAAAAAGAAATTAAGGGTAAAAGTATAAATAAAATTGTTAATTTAAGTTTTCTTGGGTTTATATTTAACATATTGTCAATTTATAACTTTTATACATTATAAATAAATCTAATGTTATCTCATTAATACAGTGAATAAACCATTTCATTAATTAGTAAGTTTTTTTTTAAATATTATTTTTTATATATTTATTTTAAGGATTGATAGTTATTTATTAATGAGATGATATTATTTGATTCATTGACAGTGTATAAAATCTATACACTAATAGTGTATTAAATACAAATGACGGAAACGATGGACATAATGAAATAATTTCTTCTTCCACACCTCTTTTCCTGTCTTACCAAATATAGTGTTACTTTTCATTAACCATTTCAAGCTTGATATTTAATTTGATTGCTTCTAATTTTCAGCCTTTAATCAAAATTGTCAACCATTTTAACTTTTTGGGTTGGCTTGATTTGTGGGAATTGCCTTAAAATGTTAGGTCAGCCACTCAGTAGCATATTAACTGCTTCCATCGTGTATCATTTTAGTGTTAAACGATCTTCAATTGGTAACTTAACTTTTGAACCAATCTTTAACATTTTTTTTTTGCCAAGAAAAGTTTAAGAGCAAAGAAAGTTATCTCGTTTTTAGGATTAGAGTAAGCCATCAACCCACAAAAAAATTTTCGAATTCTTTGAAACTTTTTGAATTTATAAATTATCTACTAACAAAATATCATGATGTTCGAATTTAAATGTTTTACATCCAAGTGCTTTACTTCCAAGCCAACTAACCTCTTTAACATCAAAACAATGTTTGGACAGATTGTGTGGTCTGCACTACATATACACTGAACCTCCCTAAAAATGCATGCAAAACAGGTAAAAGTACAAGTAAAAAATGGGCATTTTTTACACTATTCAAATCGAAGGGAGTAGAATGCGTCCGTGCATGACACGATTCCCAAAGAACGTACAGGATGCTCTGCATGGGATTAAAGGATACTTGACTAATTAATTGGTCGGTGCATTTTACAAGAAATCATGATCGTATAATTGAACTCTAAAGCTGCTGCAGGACCGGCCCCTTTCAATTTTAACTTTTCTCTGCTTTTGATAAGGGGAAAATGGAAAAGGAAGGAAAACAAAAGAAGAAAAGAAGGTGAAAAAAAGAGGGGAAAAAGGAGAAAGAAACCAAGTAGATTTGATTAATTTGCATGAACCCCAAACAAACCCCGAGGCTAAACAGGAAGGAAACCCTAATGGTTAAGGAAAAGAAATGGGAAAAAAGGTAATACTATTGGAGAGAATCTGACACCTAACTAATTCCAATTACATAACTTTTTTAGTTTTTGAAAAAGATTTGACCTTTTCTTTTTTGCAAGTTGAAGTCAAGTTATCTATAACTGAAACATCAATCCAACTGTGAGATGATTATGATCTAGACGTGACATGAATCGAGCGGTTCATACTTGGTTGGCTTATAGGCACGACAGAGACATGAATCATATTAGAGTCTAGAAGCAAAGATGGATGAGTTTCTACAGTAATCATGCCATGCTTTTCAATCTGATGAGGAGCTTGTTAATCAAATCATTTTGTCCAGGAGCAAGGATCAAATTATTCGATAAAGATTTTTTTCCTTTGCACTGATAATCCAACAGTGATTTGTCAACCAACTGCAAATGGACCTGATCTGACCCACCAATTCATGGGAAACATTAAATATTGCCTACTAGTTAAGATTGATGGGTTCTTTTAAAAATTTTTTGTCCTGGTGCAAGGATGGCCATAGGATCAAAACAAGCTTTCCTCTCCATAAACCTTGTCCATTGATTCCCAAAATGTCGTTTCCAATCCTCTATTGACTGGTAGTGAGGGAGGTATAGCTTGAAATCCAAACCCGCTTTGATGCACCACTTAACAATCTCATGGTTTTGTGCAACCAAATCCTCAACCGATGGGCCTTTGGTGACGAACCGGAGCAACGCCACGATGTAGAAGATTTCGCCTTCCGGTAGCGCCACAGATGTACGATTATCCCATCTGAAAAACACATTTGAAAGCAAACATGCATGTATTAAAAATAACAAATATATTGGCAGTGATCGTCGCCAAAGACAGCCGGCTATAGGGGTAATTTCGTCCAAGAAAAAGAAAATCGTTGCTGGAGCCCAGACAAATTTGGGTGGCTAATAAATTTGTTTGTCGTTTCTCAAATGGTAAAGACTAACACGGAACGTTACCTCACTTGAAGTACCCTCAATGACCAAAATACCCCACATTTTTGTCTGAATTCGATACATTTCGGACAGTGAAAAATGTTGTCCCACAAAAGTGCTTGTTCTACGCTAACACACCACTGCTGCACCATACACCTAAATGTGAAGTAAACTCTAACACAAATTCTCAAGTACGGATTTGATCCAGTACGGTTGAGCTCAGCGTAAGATGGTACTACAACCGGGACATGGGGGAGATTGGATTGGTTGTGATTGATGTTCTAGGCCACATAATCTCGTGGGTGCCATTTGGTTGATTCTATAACTTTCAGAAGTAGAATTTCTTTGACCTTCCTTTTAAAAAGACAAAGGAAAATTCTTAACCGCCCGATTTAATCCAGCAAAACAGAGTGAAAAGGCCAGGTGATTGAGGTTGGAGGGGTCGTGATTCAATGGGGTTGAAATCGAGGAGCAAAATTACAACCGAGCCCCTACGGCCCCACCGATGACAAGTGTCGAGAGGCTAATTTGCTCCTGGCGAAAACCTAGTCATCCCACACGTGATCGACATGCAGTTTGACATATAATTAGAGGTTCAAAAAATAAGTGTGGGGAAAGCACTCACTTGTTTCGCAAAAGAGGGTAAACCAGCATGGGTCCACCGACTCCATCTTTCACCATCTTTTTAAACACCGTCCGATCAAAGTCAGCAATGTCTGATTTGGACACGAAGAGATTCAACCAAGGGTGCGGGCTGTCCCAAACGCCATTGGCTTTCGCGTGTTCCTCCGTCCGCTTCACACGCAATAAAAACTCCTTGTAACTGAGATCCACCTGGAACTTCAACAGTTCCACAAATCCTAGCCGTCCAAGAAGTCTGCTCACGGCCTGCACAGGGAACCGAGTAAAACAAAAACGGAGTCAGGGCCAATCACGTCATTTCAATCGAACAAAGCGAAAAAAACGCCGTTCTTGCATTACAGATTGCAGATTATGGGCTTCTTGGCCATTTGTGGAACTACGGGGACCAAAACGTCAGCCTAAATCTCAATGATCAGCCAGCAACGACATGTACTGTTATCACGTTACTCTTCCAGTCCTGACCAATTCCTAATTTCAGGAAATACGAGGGAAGGAACAGCAGGGTCTCATTCTCGTAATTAAACCCCAACAGAATGGGCACTTGCAATAACTTTTTTGTGTCAGAAAATCCAAGATGTATGGTCAGTTTCAACAGTGAAACTATATACCAACGAATAATAGTCCACACATTATTATTTTCTTTTAATTTTTATAACAAAAAATCACATCTTTAGTGAATAATCGGTTCTCGTTATGATGGAAGACGAGAATAAGCCCGTCCTCCGTCGCTGAGGGTTGTACACGTGTAAGCAAACTGTGAGTGTTCTTTGATTTTTTTCACTGACCATCGCGGACATGGTCGATGAAAGGACCCCACTTTTTGTTCATGGTCAACAGCTTGTACGGAACCCACTTAGCCACCACTTAGGTCAAAACTCAGTCATCAGTGTGTAATGTAACATAAAATTATATACCCCACGGTGTCCAGTTCCGGCGAAAGACTCCAATTTTATTTTTATATCATTCATCGACGGTCACCAATCAAGGTTCTATCTTGTTATGTTAATACATGATGCAGGAGATTATCAATTCAAAAAAAAAAAAAGAAAGAATTTGTTACCGTATCTACAGTTGAAGGGTGGTCACCGTTGCGGTAATGGAAAGCCCCTTCGAGGCAATAGAGGACTGAGCCAGCGGTTTGAGGGATGTGAGCCGGGTTGAACTCATGGTCTGGGTCCAATGGCACGGATGGCCAGCCATTAACCGGATCATCATTGTTGGAGAATACGAACCCTTCCACGTAATCAAACGACTCGCCTTCTTTCTGAATCACCAGAAACTCAGCATCCCGACTGAATTCCTCAAACTCAGAATACACTACCCTTATCCATCTTACCTAATCACACAAATAATAATAAAAAAAAACAACCTTAAAACGAACCAAATCACTTAGCTTACGCGTGTCACCCATGCACTTCAAACAATCTTAAATGTTTGTTTTTTGTTGAAATAGTAAAATACCTACCATGTCCGGAACTGGCTGTAGCTTTACCCTTGCTCGGGTAATTATACCAAACTGACCGAGTCCGCCGAGGACTGCGAAAAAGAGTTCGGAGTTTTGGTTTTCGGAGCAAACCGTTATTTCTCCTTTTCCAGTTACAACTTCCAATTCCGTCACGTTCGACGTTTGGGGACCATAACGGAAGGTTTGTCCACTGACGCCAGCGTTAGATAAAGTCCCACCCACCGTTAAGCTCAAGTAATCCGTCCACGACCTTGGAGCCAAACCGAGCGTCAAAACACACCGTGTCAAGACGTCTTCCCATAATGCCCCGCCGGAGACATCGATATAAGGAGAGCCATTTATTGTCGAGAATGTGAAATGGTTTTCCTCCGTGGAACGCATGTCTATCACGAGCCCTCCATCGGCCATCGCCTGACCGTTGATCGAGTGACCATTACCCCTTGCCGCAACCGTCAGATGAGAAGTCCGTGACGCGGCCTTAACGACCCGAGCTATATCCTCTGCTCCAGAAGGTTTAATTAAAGCCAACGACTCAACCGAATAAAGGCCGCCGAAATCTCTACCGGCTACACCTGTAATACCAGCGCTTTCGATGCTGCCTTGGAGGTCGAGGGATTTAGATATGCTGGAAGCGACGTCGTCGGGTTTGGACTCCGCATCGGTGTCGTGTACGATTCGTCCCAAGCAAGCTATCATCTTTGTACACTTCGCTGGAAATGGGAATTTCGCCTCTCCCACTCTCTCTGTTTTGTGTACCATAAAATGAACGAAAGAAAAATTACAAGGGATGGTAATGTATCTGGTTTGGACGTTGCGGCCCATGGGAAGGAGGGCGTTTAAATAGAGGCAAGATTCAGATAGGGCAGCTGAAATTTGATAAGTTTTTTTTATTAAAAATTTTGTAATATATAAAAAGATTTTTAATAAATTTATATATGTTTAAATAAATATTTTTAATAAAAATATTGATAAAATTTTTATTATTAAATAAATAGTGATTAAATTTGAATTATAAATAATATTTTTAATATGTAAATTTGATTTTCATACTAAATTTTATAAATTTATGGGTTTGAATTTTTTATTAAATTATTTATTTTTAAAATTTCAAAAATTTGATAAAAAAATTAATGTAAAATTTGTCCGTTTAAATAGTGCCGAAATTGGGTAGGTTTTTGGAGTTTAATAAAAACGGGTTTTAATTTAATTAATTAATTAATTTAGATCAAAAAAATCGGTTGACGTTGTAATCCTACCGAGATTCTTTGCCTGCGACATCCTTTATTTTATTGGAAAAATAAATACTAGTACTCCTTAAAAAAGTTTGGACCAATTGTAATTTACCTTTTTTAATATTTCTGAATTTTAATTTTGGACAAAAGTTTACAGTCTTTTTGTTTGAATGTAAAATTTGGATGGATTTGTTTACATATATTATTTAAGGATAGTAAAAATATTATATAAGAACAAAAATTTACATTTAAAACTGGGTGTTTATATGTATTGATTAGAGATAATTAAATTATTATTTTAGAAAATAAATTTGTATTTAATTTATTATTTTTATTAAATACAAAAAACAATATCTTAATTATATCTTTGCAAATCACTTTAACCGGCATCATTAGGCACTTTTTAACATTGCTTTTATTATTTTTAAAATTTAATTAAAACGATCATATCAATTTTGTAACCAGTGTTTGTAATAATTGCATTTGTAGTTTTTCGAGACTTTAATTTAGACATGGAACTTTAAATAAGAATAATTTGTATGGGTTGATAAATGAAAAAAAAAAAAAGGCAAGAACTTAAAAATAAAATAAAATAGCCATTGTGTAAGAATGAATAATTTATTGGTTCGGTAAAAAAAATTAATAATCGATTTAATTTATTTTAATTTAAAAAATAATCGAATCAATCAAATATTATTAAATATTATTAAATAATCGATCATAATCGAATCGATTAAAATCGATTAAGTTCAGTCAGTTCGATTAAATAATTATTTTTTTATAAATAATTATTTAATCACAAATTTAATTCAATAAAATTCAAACTCAAATATTATTAAAATTAAATGACTAAAAATTTAATAATTTCAACAATATTTTATAAGAAAAAAATAAAAAAATATTTATCTCAAATTTTTTTACTTTTATTTATTAAAAAAATCATTAATTCAATCAGTTCGATTATCAATTTTAAAAACTAAAAATTAATCGAATTAATTAATTTAATCGATTTAAAAAATCAATTATAACTAAAATAAAATAAATCAAACTGATTTAATCAAATTTACTCAATTTTAATTGATCTAATTGATTCAAACCGATTTTTGTTCACTCCTACCATTATGATGATGAACATTCATATATAAGTTAAAGACCCAAAAGATTTACATGTTGCTGTTGTTCTAGTTCATTATAAAATAAACAAAGAATACATATTCTTTTCGTCTTAATTTATTTGTTTTATATTGATTTGTATAGAATTAAAAAAAATAATTTTAATATATTTAATATTAAAATTAAAATTTTTATGAATTTTAATGTTAAAAAAATGAGTTTTAGATATTCATGAAAAAAAAATAAGACATAATTTTGGCAACCTATTAATCAATTATACTGCCAAAAAAAAAAACCTATTAATCAATTGTAGCAAAATTTAAGCACAAATTAATATTAGATGGATATTAGTTTTCTTTTTGGCCCACACCAGATGGTAGAGTTTTTTGAAGAACACTAAATATTAATTTTTATATAAAAAAAAGATTCCACACATTTCACCCGGACGAATAATTGATATATTATTATTATTTTTTATTTTATGGTTGAACCTTTAATAAGTCAAAAAAAGCAGTTGTTAGAGTTGTAAAGTCAATGAAATATTTTATAGTTGTGGAAACAAATTAAGAAAATATAATTAAATAATGTTTAATTAAAATGAGTGCAACATTTGAACTACTAAAAGAGTACATTTGTAGAAAAAAAATGGAAAGAAGCAAACAACAAGATTCATGAAACCCATTGAAGATATTAGATTAGTTTCAATTAGTCAAATAATTTTTTAATTATGTAAATTCAACGCCATTGTTGAAGGAGTGAGCTCATCAAGCATGAGATAAGTTTAGTTTGGGGATTAATTTTTTTAAATTATGTTTAGTATAAAAATAATCACTATTTTGAGATAAAAAAAGAAGTTTTTTATATTGAGATTTAAAATTTAAATTATTAAATGGTATTTTTTTAAAAAATATCATATGAATTAATTGCATTAATTAAGTTTTGGGTTTAATTTTTCTAAAATTTGATGAATCAGTTATTAGGTAACCTTTAGTCTATAAATAGCTAATTAATTTTTTAAATTTTTTTGGAGGGTGTTGAAGTAATGGAAGTCAAATGAATTTATTATGGCCTTACAAAAAATTTTCTTCAATTTTAATTGAAAGCCGCCTAGAGCATCTCTCTTTGTTCTGAATATTTTATTTTAAGCCGGCTACAAAAATTAATCTTAATTCTTAGATCATACAACAATATTGACCAATAGTGGTATGGTTTGATAATAAAATATTAAAATTTTAATTTCAATAATCAAAATTGAATATTTATATAATATATATTTTTAAAAGAATAAATTAATTTATTTTAATAAATATTTATAAAGACCCATTAATCAAAAACAAAACTTTATGGTGAGCCAATTCAAGCATACGAATACTTTTTTTTTTTTTTTTTGTGTGTAGCTAGTTAGATATCTCTCTCCCCTATGAAGATATTCTTAGGATTGGGAGTGAGGGAAATCTCTGAATGCAAACGACTAAGCATATCATTTAATTCACCCAACACGTAATGGGTTTTTTCTTTTATGATGATAGAAACAACCAAAGGTCATCCATCAACTTGTAATATTTGAATGGCTACTTTATCTTACTCATAAGATAAAATAAAAGGCAAAGAGATATGAGAATCCGAGGTATGCCATTACTTCCCTAAAAGCAAACAAAAATACCCACAAAATTCCAAGATTTGGATAGCTTTCTTTTTTTTTTTTGGGGGGGGGGGGGGGGGGCATAAGAGATTAATTTTTGTTTAAAGCTAAAACTATTAGCTTTTCCTTGCATGTTAATTTAATTAATTTAGTTAAAAAGCTATCTTTTTCTTTTTCTTTCTTTTAAAAATTTTGTTCTTCTTTTGGGGTAAAGTTAGCTTATACTAGCCAGTCATACTCGTATATGCCTTATGTGAAGATAAGGGGTATTTTAGTTTATGATTGCTTTGTTAATTCAGATAGCATCCATAATTTTTTTTATTAAAGTATTTGGCAACTAGGGAGAAGGATGACAAAATTTGTTTCCATTACTTGTTTGCTTCGTCTTTAATGGCTTTTACTAATTTTTTTTCCACATTTCTTCCCTTATAAAAACAAGAATATGCTGTCATCCTGGCATGCCTAAATTAGATTCAGTTCATTTTTTATTTTAGGTGGTGGAGGCTGAGACAAATGCACAAAATCGCCATGGGAATGCCTTTTTTTCTAGTCGAAAAATTATTAAGGTTATATATATATATAAAAAGGTCACAACATAAAAAAAAAAAAAAATTGAACTCTCGATCTGTTGAATGTCATTTTAAGGGAATGAATAAAGAATTCGATAAGTCAAAATAAATACAAACTTAAAAAAAATGAACATATTCATATTTGACACATATCATATTTGATACTCCATTTTGAATCCTAATAATATAATAAATGAAAATATATAATTTTAATTAAATCCTTCAAAATTAAAAATCAAGATCCGTAGCTATATACTTTTCAATCTTACAAAATTAAAATTGTGTAAAAGTACATAGTTTTCTTGATCTTTCATGTTCCTAACACTTTTCCACACAAATTCCTTTTGATTTCCTCGATCACACAAAAATTTCCCTTTCTTTGGTCTTCATTTGTGGCATATATAACCAAAAGTCTTAGTTGAGGTTACGAATTCTAAGATGGCTACGGTTTAGTTTTGTATGCAAATTAATTTCTAATGTTATCTACTATTAATTTTAAATAAATGCAAATGGGCGCAATACCAAGTCCTTTTACCTAAAAAATCTTTTGATCAAATATTATAAACAACCTTTTCTTCACATAAATAATTTCTCCTCTCTCAAATATATTTCATAAACATAGAAAGTTTAAATTATTTACTCTGGTTCATACTAACTATATTTGTAGTTTATAAGAAAACTAGAATTGTTAAAGTCCCTTTGTTATCTATCATTCTTTTGTATATATGTCAACAAGCCCCCCCCCCCCCCCCCTTTTTGCATTAATCCAACTTATACCTTAATTAATTAAGTAAAACACTATAATTGCATTATTTATAAGTTAGTTTTCATATATTAATTAATTTTTTAATTGCGATATTGTAATTTTTGAAAGAAAAAAATAAAAAGGTTTTTACTTAAAAAATTTTATAAATAATTTTTTTGGTGCGAAGGAGGACACGGTCTAAAAAGAATTGTAGATATATAACTTGTAAACTTAAAAGAAAAATCCAAAAGGTATTAATTTAGGTCCATAGGGCCACAACTTTTTTTTTTTTTCAAATTGAATTAATCTTAAATCTAGTAAATTATCACCCTTTTTAAAGGAGTGGTATATATTTATGATGAACTTCAAGTTATATAAATAGAATTTGAGTATGGGTTTGTATTCCATTGCAATTAAGTTTATTATACCATCAGCTGAATCTAAATATAAATTTTAGTGAGATTCATTATGTGTAAATTTTTTTATAAATTTTTTTTCAATTACAATTATAGTGATTTTTTTTTAATCACAACTATTGTAATTTTTTTTA